TTACAGGGACTGGGCATGGCTAGTCTAGTGAAGAGAAGGACCGGGGGGAGACATGATAGCAGTGTTCCTATATTTGAGGGGCTGCCACAGAGAGGAAAGGGTCAAGCTATTTTCCAAGGTACCTGAAGGTCAGAGACAGAATAATGGATGGAAACTAATCAAGGAGAGATTCAACCTAGATATAAGGAGAAATTTTCTGTCAGTGAGAACAATCAACCAATGGAACATTTTGCCTTCAGAAGTTGTGGGAACTTCATCACTAGAGGCTTTGAAGAAGAGACTGGACTGCCATTGGTGTAGGATGTAGGGTTGGACTAGATGACCTATAAGGTCCCTTCCAACTCTGTTAATCTACTCTATTGTACTTACTGGATGAACCATTATATGTATGGGAAAAAGCAGATTTTTTGTGGAGGGGAGAGGAGTTGATTTTGTCTTTTTAAATGTGAGATATATGTCTTAGGATTTATTTTTCCTCTGTTCCTTACCTGAAAGGACTGGAAATTGTGGTGTCATCAGCGGTGGGTTCTGGAGCCTGTCACAACTGGTACGCTGTGATGGGGCCAGGCGTCCACCACATGCACATATGCTGCTCATGCATGCACACCCACCGGCCGTGACATTCCAGCTGCTCAGCAGACCATCGTGCAGCGCCATACACTGCATGCATAAATGGCCCGGTTGGGTCAAATACAGGTAAGGAACGTGGGCGGGGGTGGGGATGGGGGTGGGCCCTCTGAAGCACTGTACCGGAACGGTGCCTGTTGCTCCCAGCAGGCACCGGTATGCCTGTACCGGGGCATAACTGACCAGAACCCACAACTGGGTGTCATCTGGAAATTTTTATCATTTATAAGAGGAGGATTATAAGTCATAAAAAGGGAATTTGAGGAATAGGAGGCTGCCCATTATACCTTAGTAAATAATCCATAATTGGTTTAAATTCAGAAAACACATTAAATAATATACTAGAGTTTATAAACCATAATATTTGGTTCTGCACAAATACTAAACCCAAACAAAGCAAATAGTGATTTGGCATATCATGTTCACTGATCTCCAGGCTAGATTCATCACCCGTATTAAGGTATGGTATGGTTCATTTGATTTTGGCTTAGCCTGTATTGAATGAACCCAACCAATTGTGGTTTATAGAATGTGGCAAACAGATCATTACTTCACTTGATGAGTAAGTTTCGTTTCCAAGCAGAATGTCAATGAGATGCTCTTATGGCCTGCCAAATATTCTATAATTTGGCCCACAGATGCTACGTCAGGCTGATTGTCAATAATCCTTCAAATGGTAGTTTATGAAAAACATCAAGTATACAGCATATATTCAGTCTTTCATTCTCAGGATTTATTTGGGGGACCAATCAGAACCAAGCAATCCTAAATAGCATTTCAGACCCAAATAGCAATCTGGCATCTGAACTATAGTTCCCCTTTCTCTTATATTGGTAGCCATGACTGGCCTTGCCTTCATTTAGACCAATAAATTCCTATGGGTCTGTGTGGGGAGCATGCTGATTCTGTAATTAAAATTGCATGCTAGAAAGCCAACTGCCAGCGGAAGCTGGGTTCCCTCCTACTGTTGCATTCTGTCAGTTCACGGAAATTTATTTATTTATTTAGAAAAGGAAATGTCACTGCTTTCTCAGAAATAAAGGTAGAATTCTAGAATATGTTGCATGATATTACCTCAGGGAAAGGCGGCACGGTGAAAAAGTGCACATTTTTATTTGACAAGAACTGAAGTCTGTGGCATAGAAAGAACAATGCAGATCAGATGAGGAGCTTCCCAAAGTTAGGAAAGGCCCATGGATTAGAAGGTCTATATGTGTGGTGGAGTGATGTCATGGGAAAAAACCTATCATTTATCAATAAAATTGATAAGGAGTCATTGCTTCATAAGTTGTCTGATCTGGAAAAATTTGTAAGTGTTAGCTACTTGTACTAACTACTGCCTGAAGTTCTCACTGACCCTACCCCCGAGACACCAGTCCTCCTCATTGACTGCCTTGAGACTGGGCCTGTCTCATCCAGTGACATTGCCCATCACTCTGCAAAGAACTCCACCATCAAGCAAATTTTGAACTGGGTGTGGAGAAGGTGGCCCAAGGAGTCTGTTGGGGTTGATTTCAAAATGTATTTTGCCAAACATGATGAGTTGTCAGTTGTTAATGGATGTTTATTGTGGGGGGACCGATCGTTGTTCCACCCAAACTGCGCATTGCAGTATTAGAGACTTTACATGTAGGGCATCCTGGAATTGTCAGGATGAAGTCTTTGGCTAGGAGTTATGTGTAGTGGCCTAGCATGGACAGGGAGATTGAAGAATGGGTGGCTACCTGCACACCGTGCCAGGAGTCCAGACCAGCTTCCCCAGAGGTGCCCGCTAAGGAGTGGGAGCGACCTCAAACATCGTGGTCTAGGGTGCACATTGACTTTGCTGGCCCAGTTCATGGCCGGATATTTCTCGTGGTTGTGGATGCCTACTCGAAATGGTTAGAGGTAGTCCTGATGACCTCCACTATGGCAGAAGTGGTCATCAAGGTGCTATGGAGACTTTTCTCCAAGCACAGCCTGCCTGACATCTTGGTCTTTGACAATGGGCCCCAATTCATGGCCATGCAGTTTGAGATCTTCCTAGCAGCTCAGGGAATCAGGCATGCCCTGGTCGTGCCATTCCATCTGGCCTCCAATGGTCAGGTGGAGAGAATGGTGAGATCTGCAAAAGAGGCCCTCTCTAGGATGGGCCCAGGAGATTGGCAAACACAGGTTGATCACTATTTGCTAATTCAGCACATCACACCCAGTGCCACAACAGGGAGAAGCCCCTCTGAGCTTCTCATAGGTCGCCAGCTAAGGTCCCACTTAGACCAGCTATACCCCATTGCCTCAGACTCCACAAGCAAGATTCAAACATTTAGCGTAGGGGACTCAGTATATGCCCACAACTACACTGGGGGAACTCTTTGGATTCCTGCCACAGTGATAGGCATCACCGGCCCTCGCTCTTACCTCCTAGAGCTTGAGGACGGTAGGAATTGAAGAAGGCATATTGACTAACTCCGTGGCCGCCTCTCCAACTCCACTGTTAGACAACCAGAGGTAACTCCTGCACGAGTTAGCCAAAACCCTACACAAATGCAGCAAACACTCACTCCTTCCATGGCCAGCTCAAGCCCAAGGGTACCAGGAAACTTATCTGGTTATGTTGCAGGCCCGCAGTGAGCTCCGAACGAACCGGCTCTAGAAACTCCAGCCGCGGCCTGTGAAAGGTTCCAGGAGCTTCCACCAAGCGGAGCTGCAGAGCAAACAGGTCCATCCGACCTGTCCAAGGAAACCCCTCCTAGTGAACTGCACAGGTCAGGCAGAGCTACCCAAAAGCCTGCCTACCTGCATGACTATGTAACTACTAGGATT